TTTTCTTTTTTTTTTTTTTTTTTTTTTTTTTTTTTTTTTGTTTTTCCATGTGCAGTGTTTTCTTTTTGTTGTTGGTCTTCTTGTTATATTCCCCTTTATTTATATCTTTTTCTTTTCTTTTTTTATTGGGGTTTTTGTTTGTTCTTCTTTAAATGAAATAAAACCATTACATATATATATATATATTGAAGAAAAAGTAGGTAGGGTAACATATCCATACAATCAATGCAGAGTGTCCTTTCACATTAAATGCTCACTGCACTGCATATTACTTTACCGAAAGGAAACAAACAGCGTATTGGTGGTCATCAACATCGTCAACAACAACAACAACAACAACTCTCAAATAGATGTTTGGTAGTAAATGAAAGCACTGGTGAGGCGATACTCACCTCTACAGATGCCTCATTAAAGTACACAAACTCCTCATCTCATGAAAAGCGTGATGTAGGGACACGTTTTCACTTTGATCACATCACCATTAGTCCACATCATGGTACTCTCTTTATTAAACAAGTGGCTCCTATGTTGTATGATCTCTGCCGTAGTTTTATCCAACAAACAACCCGTAATGCCACTAATGGGAATAGTTCCTATTCTTCTCATTCCTCTTCAACACCAGTATTATTATCATCAACATCAGGATCATCATCGTCTCTTAGTCGATCGGTGTTTCTCCACGGCAATAGTGCTGGTACAGACCGCCGGGGTTTATTTCACCACCTCGCAAAGGCAACGGCAAACACTCTAAGACGACAAGCGGGTATTTCCACTTCTTCTTCTTCTTCTTCCTTTTCTTCTCTTTCATTTGCGTTGGTGGATCTTTACCACGCATGGGGAGTGGGGGATGTACTTGACCCTGATGCCGCACTTCACGATCGTGCGCGGTTGGAGCGACTGCGGCGTGAACAGCCACGACGGGCGGTTAATAAACCCAAAGGAATGGCGTTTGTAGAACCCACACAACACCCATTGGATGGACGAGAACGCATAGACACAAGTATCACACGTGCACTGCAACGTGTAGAACCACCACGGGCATTTTGTACAGATGCAGAAAGGGAAGATCATGCGGTAAAGTCAACATTGGTTCTTACATTTACTATCGCCCATTACTCCTTTAGTGGGGAAGAAGGAGTAAAGCGTGGATCTATGGTAAACCCATTAGGTGATGATCGTCACCGTATGCAAGAAGGAAAGAGGAATAGTAATAATAATAATAATAATAATAATAATAATAATAATAATAATAATAATAATAATAATAATAAGAGGATGTTGCCTACAGTAGAGGCAAGATTTCACATTATTCTTCTTCCTGATAGTACGGCCTCACTTCATGGAAAGCAGGGAGCACAGGAATTATCGGCTTTAGCAACTGCACTAGGAGCCTGTGTTCAATGGCGAAGTGAGGGATCAAACTTTACTCCGAATACACAATCACAGTTAAAACAGGTGGAAACTTCTATACTCTCATCTAATCTACCTTGGGCACCACTTCGTGAATCCCCATTATTACTTTATTTATTTGAATCCACTAAGTATTATGCTCATCAGAATGAACGACGATTGCGTCAACTTCGCTTAGCAACAGAAAGACGTCGTCTTTATGGTGATGATTCAAGACCAATAAGTGCCAATACTTCTGCATATTCCCATAATGGGGTAAGGAGTTTGTCTACAAGTACAGCTACCTCTACAGAGCATAGTTGTTGGATAAATACTGATCTTAGTTCTGGTAATGTTCTTGAGAGTATTTCAGTTGGTATTGGTGAATTTCTTCTCGTGCTTTGTGTAAATTCTGCGTGGGATCAATATTATCAAGCACGTAGTGCCTTTCTATTTGTTCAACGAGCGACTAACCAAATAGGAGCCTTAACTCCTGTATTAGGAGAAAAAATAAAGGAAGAAGGATATACAATATCAGCAGCGGGACATTTTATAAATGAACAAGCTTCTAAAACATCATCTACCACATGGATTCATTCCCCATATAGACAAGAGATAAAACAATTAGATAAAAAAGAAAACCAAAAGGAAGATTTTCCATCTTTACAAGAGGATATACATTCAACAAAGAAAGAATTCTGGTCTTCACCTCGACGACGGGAAAAAACAGAACCAAGACATTCGCATGATGATGATAATGATGATGAAGAAAAAGAAAAGGAACAAAATCCTTTTATTCAGCGAATGCCATCTGATGTATCTGTTAATGAGGATGACTATAATGATTATGATGATGATGATAATGTAGACAGAGACAATGGGAAAGGTATCAATAGCAGTAGTGGTGGTGGTCTTGTTCTTGATAGCGATATTCTTAGCAGCGATGCTAGACCTCCACAGAAACTTTTCTCAACCTCATCACCGTGTAAGACAGAAGCAACTATTCTTAAACATCAAGAAGCACCAATAAATGATTTAGTTTCTATGCAAAGTCCTTTTACTTCTTTATTCTTGCATAAAAATATGAATCGTCCTTCTACACAGCATACTTTTTTCTTTGATTGTCAAAAACAGAGTCTTTGCAGTAACACAGATATGGTATCCTCGCAGGAACATCCTTATGCTCCTAAAGGCAGTCCAGTATTACGTTCTCCTAACCATATATATATACAAACTACAACAACATCAACACCAACACCAACACCAGTATCAGTATCAATGTCAACAACAAAAGTAAATGTGGATTCTGAATATCATAAACCTCATGAAAACACTACTCATGTTATTCAATCCACACCAAAAACCACACCTGTATGTAATTCCTCTGCTTCACCTTCTCTTTGTAGCAAAACGATCTCAGCATCTGGACAGGAATTTTGTAATGATGCTCTTATTGCAGCTCTGCAAAAACAAACAGCCCTTCTTTCAGAGAATGAGCAACTTCGTGCGGTGGTGGCGCACCTCTCATCACAGCAGGCAGACACTTTATATGCAAAAAAACAAAACACTGGAATCGAAGAGGTGCATGATGCGGCAGTTGTGCGAATGCGGGAAGCCGATCGCAATGCGGAGATGCGTGCACTTCGCGAGGACCTCGCAGCAGCCACACGAAAAGCAGGAGTTCTGCAAAAGACACTCTCACGCTCTGTTGATGAAAACCGCAAAATGCGCCGTGTGATTCATCGACAACTGCAACAGTGTCTTGCTGAGTTACCGCGTGTTTTTCACGATACAGTGGCTGAGAGAAAAGCCGCTGCATCCACTTCTGTGGATGCCGAAAGTAGATTATCTCGTGTAGAGAAACTACTGGATACTATCGTAACACGAGTACTGCATTCAGTACGTGATGAAGTAGATAACGTAAAGAATCGAGAAGAAGAGGAAGAGGAAGAAGAAGAAGAAGAGAATAATGAGAATGAATATAATGGAAAGAAAGGACAATATCATGAGAAGAAATTGAATAGTGTTAGTCGTGGAAAGGTAAATGCATCATTTGGGTTGTTTGAAAAGCAATCCACACATCAACGATTTCATGAAAACACACAACTACTCCTTCGTCGAGAAGAACTAGACCAAAAACAACAACTACAAGGACAAGAACAAGAAGAAGAAGAACAACAACAACAACTACAATCTCATTATTCCCGTGGTGGAAATAGGAGAAGATGCATGTTGGGAATGGATTCTCCCATTAATGACTCCCTCACACATGGATCACAGCATGCTAACCATTCTACCATTAGAAGAAAAAATGTTGAAAAGGCATTATTGTATGATGATATAGAAACAGGAGTGGTAAAATTACTAAGGATTGCCCATAATCTATTTATCAGGGAATCAGATATTAGTAAGGATGCTATCTCTGAAGATGACAAATATGAAAGACTCTGTCAAGGCGAAAAAGATAATCATGGAAAGAAAGGCTTTAGTTTATCACAAAGTATACTGGATATTTTTTCTCCAGATCGAAAAGAAGAAAACCAATTGTTGAACCATCAATACCACCACCGCCACCACCAGCAGCAACAGCAGCAGAAAAATAGAACAAAAAGTAATGGAAATACTGATGAACTCTTATCCAATAAAAAAGTAACGGAAAAGGAATTATGTCGGAAGTGTCATTTGAACCGATATAATCAACATAATTCTGCATACGTAACATTTCTGGAATTAGTACGTTCATTATACAGTCATATTACAGTAGATGGGTATCTCTTTTCTAGACCACAACTTCAATGGAATGAAAATGAAAATCTAAAAGAGAATGAGCAAGAAAGAGTAATAAATGAATATACTTCTGCAAGAGCAAAACCTGATACTCATTTCTCTGGTGGTAAAGTTAACGTTTCTTCGCCTCATTCTGGGGATGCTGTTCTAATGCAAACACGACAATTATCTAATTTATTACAGCAGCGTAGTGATGCCCGTGAAGCTGAACACAAAGCTCTGCAGGAAGTAAAGAATGAGTTAAGTAGGGAAAGAGAATGGCGTCGTCAGTTGCAAGATGAACTCCTACAACTTCGTGTTCAAGTAAGTAAGTATGAAGCTAAACTGGACCTTATTGATGAAACAGTAAAACCAAAGCTTTCTAGTGGTATTGTGGAACTGGAACAGATGATTGCAGAACGAAAGCAGAAGCAAGATTTAGAGAGACAGCAACGAGCAGCTGTTCTTTCTCAGATTCAAAAACGACTTGAAGAGACTGTTGAAAATGCTGATTTGAGACCTTTTCCTCGATCTTTTTCTTAAGTATCATGATAATCAATTATCGCTGCCTTCATTCAGCATTGTTTTTTTTTTTTTTTTTCGTACGTTTGTACGTTTCTCTATAAAAGGGACACAGATTCTTTTTCTTTTTTTCCTTACAGCACATTAAACGCAACCCTATTTATTTTCATCCCTGTACACTAGATGCGATGTGTGTATCATTGCTCTACTATCATCCTATCCGTGTTTCCACACAGGTACTCCTCTCTATTATTATCTTATTATCACTTGTAGTGCTTCATTTCTCTCACGTTGACTGAAGGATTTCCTTTACCCTACGAATATTCCCTTTTGCTTGTCATGCTTCATTTCCGCTTTCCTCTCCTTCTTACTCTTACCCATACATACACATAGAAAAAAAAGGAAAAAAAAAGAAAGAAAGAATCCCTTGTTTGCTGTTGTTTTTCTTGATAGTGTGTGTGTGTGTGTGTGTGTGTGGTTGTATATATGGGGTTTCTCGCGTGGATCCTCGCGTGGCTGCGTGGACTCTTCTGGCAGCAGGAAATGGAAATAACACTCGTCGGACTGCAGGGCGCTGGTAAAACAACACTTCTCGCTGCCTTTTGCGACGGCAAAGAGTCTGTACTCGCACATGATGCCATTCCAACCATCGGCCTTAATACACGCAAACTTGTGCGGGGCGGTGTGTCGGTGAAAGTGTGGGATATTGGCGGCCAACCACGGTTCCGCGGAATGTGGGAGCGTTACTGCCGTGGTGTGCAGTGTGTTGTGTTCGTTGTGGATGCTAGTGAAGTGGCGGCCTTTGAGGAGGCACGGCGGTGTTTGCATGACTTAGTGACTCGCCCCGCACTTGTTGGTATTCCACTGCTAGTGCTGGCGAATAAGAATGATATTGCCGGGGCGTGTTCAGCTGAGACAGTAGCGGCGGAGATGCAACTTTCAAAGCTCGCACCAGATCGTGAGACCGCCTGTTATAGCATTAGTGCTAAGAATTATGTGAACATTGATGTTACACTGAAGTGGCTTATGCGGCATTCCAAAACGGCGTCCTCTACAGAGTAGCAGCATAAAGGAAAGGAGGGAGGAAAAGTAATCACGATAAGAGAAAAGATAAAAAAGAAGAAAGAAAAATAGAGGGTATGAAACTGAACATATTATCTTTGTTTTTTGCTTTAGTCTCGACGTTTAATTGTTGCAATACCATACGTAACTACTGCTTCTAAGTGTATATATATATATATATATATATATATATATCCATCTCTGTGTGTGCTTATAATGATGCTTTTGTTATTACCACTGTATCATTCTTTTCTTGGTCATGTTACGCTAAGAGAAGAAATTTCTCTCCATCTCTTTCTTACTTTCTCTCTATGCGTCATTAAACTTGGTTTGAGGATAATGAGGGTTCTGTGAGTGCGAGGGGTGAAGATGTAAACGATACAAATTTATGGAGTAATAACCCCGTTGTTGCCTTATTTACCTGTTTGTTATGGATATATGCGAGTGTTTTTCTGTTTTTACTTTTTTTTCGTTTTTATTGTTTTTGTAGTTGTTTATGGAAGTATGATAAAATAAAATATGAAATTGGTGTTGAATGTTTAAAAAATAGTTGAGTGGATTGGAAAGGGGCCCAGTCAAGCAATGGCTGTGGTTGAATTGTTTTTGTATGAGGAATGCTCTGTTCACATGTCCTGCTTCTCTTTTTATATTATTATTATTATTGGTTGCTCCCTTTTCTTTTTTGTTTCTCTTCTCTCTTTCTCTCGTCGGCTCACTGAACTGTTAGTGGCTTATCCTCTTGCAACTGTGAAATATCAACTATTACGTTTTCTCACTCTCACGTTTTTTTCTGCTTATATATCTGTAAGCAATACGTTTTCTTTCTGTGTGTCTATCTGTATTTAATTTCTTCTTCTTCTTCCTAATCTTTTTTTTTCTCCTTGTCTTCAGGTGAATGACTACACCGGACAGCCAAACATTATTAAAAGAAGACCAATAACCAAGATTATACAAAAAAAAAAGAAAGAACCGTATTAGTTGCTACATTCATAGGAATACTACTACTACTACTCCTACTACTTTTATTATTATTCTTGTGATTATTAATTGTTGTGTTTTGCATGACGGCGAGTGTGGCGCAGCTGCGGGGGTGTGCGATTGGGGACTTCGTGACGGTCCTGCCGGTGCCGCCGCAGTCGGAGGTCCGCAGGGGGGTTCTGCGATTCGTCGGGCCGACCGCCTTCGCCGCCGGGTTGTGGGCGGGCGTCGAACTCGTCGGCAGCAGCGGCCGCAACGACGGGAGTGTGATGGGGCGCGTGTACTTCGAGTGCCCGCCGGGGCAGGGCGTCTTTGTGCGGCCGGAGCTCGTCGTGCCGTACACCCCAGCGGCCCAGTCGGCGGAGAATGAGGAGAAGGAGAAGGAAAAGGAAAAGGAAAAGAAGACGGCTGCTGGGATGCTGCAGTTGGTGGATGTGTTGCGGGGGGATATTGGGCGATTGCAGCAGGAACTGCAAAAGACAACAGGGGAGTTGGAAAAGGTGCGGGCAGATCTGGTGGAAAGTACGGCGGAACTTGAAAAGGAGAGGGAAAAGGGAAGAACACTAGCAGAGAGGCTGGAGATGATGGTATCTCAGGAAAAGAGCACAAAAAAAGAGGATGAGGAAAAAATCAAAGAAGAGAAGGAAATAGAGATGCAACGTTTACAGCAGCATTGTGTGGATTTGAAAGAACTCTGTGATATACAAGAGGAGGAGATCAATCGACAACGCGAGCACGCCGATGATCTCGCACAACTTATTGAAGATGAACGTCACAAACACGTGGAAGAACAGAATGAACTACAGCAGATGATACAGCAACTTGAAGAAGAACTCAACCAACAACGACGGTTAGTGAATGAGAGTAAAGAAAATAATGACTCCGTAAGCAAAATAGAGGTGGAAGAGATGAGACTACAGATTTTTCAGCTTCAGCAGGAAAGAGAAGCTTTTCGGTTACTTAAGGAAAGATATGAAAATCTTCACACAGAACGAGAACAAGAACGTAAAGAGTACGAAACAAAATGCAAACAGACATCATCTGAGTATGAAGAGGCCCTCACACAACAGAGAGAGTATAAAAATCGCCTTATGGATGAGATTCGAAATTTGCAGCAACAGATAACGGATATACGTCGTAGTCACGAGCGTGAACGTGTGTTACACATGCCTCTTAGTGTAGCTGAAAGAGAGGAATATGAATTCCAGCTTTCTCAAACGCGGTGGGAACTCATGCAAGTTTATGAAAATATATTCGCAAAACGTTATGATCAATTTTTGGCACCTGTCTCTCGATGGGATTCACCAGGTGTAGTTATTCAAACGATGAGTGATGCGATATCATCCGCAGCACATGTATTGCCATTTACCACAGTTGATCAATGTCTGCATTCCCGCATGGTACTCTTTCAACATCAAGATCATAAGGAGTAAAATAATCCTACAGAATCCAGTTAGGTTAAAAGTACAACTAGTTAATATTATTTGTTGTTGTTTTGTTTGTTTCTTTACAGTTGCGCTAGATTGTCAATAACGTTTTCATGTTGTTTTGTTTTGTTTTTTTCTCTTCGTTTCCTTTGCTACTGTTATTGTCGTTTATTGAGAAGGAAGACGTAGAGAGAGAGAGAGGAGTGGAAGCTCTGCTATTCTCTTATGTGAGTCGTATTGTCAAGATTAATATGTTTCCCCATTTTTTTTCTTTATTATCGTTTTTCTCTTCTTTTCTTCTTTGTAGATGCGTTTTTGTGTGTCGGACTTCTTGTCTTTTCGTGGTGATAGTTCAATCTAGGGTATCCACGGCACTGAGACGTATTGTTTTTTTTTTTTTTTTTTTT